TACTAGAAGAGGCATTAACCTTCACCACCACTCATTTGAAGTCGGTAGAAAATCGTTTGAGCTCCCCGCTTTCGAAACTCGTAACTCATGCATTGTACCAGCCGTTTTGGAAGGGCAACCCAAGGCTAGAAGCAAGGCGTTACTTGTCCATTTACCAGGAAGACGATTCACATAATGAAACTCTCTTAACTTCTGCAAAGTTGGATTTCAATCTCTTGCAGCAAGTCCATCAGAAAGAACTAAGTGAAATTTCAAGGTTAAACAAAACCAATTAACTACACTTAAATTTAAAGAATCTGACTACTTAGTTCTACCAGCTATTTAAACAAATTGTTGTCCACTCAATTTACTGATGCAGGTGGTCGAAGGACTTGGATTTTGTAAGCAAACTACCTTTTGCAAGAGACAGAATTGTTGAGAGCTACCTTTGGGGGTTAGGGTGCTACTTTGAACCTCAATATGACTTTGCTCGGATGACATTAAGCAAAGTAATTGGCCTTATTGTGGGTATTGATGACATCTATGATGTCTATGGCACATTTGAAGAACTAGAGCTCTTTACTAATGCTGTTGAGAGGTTTGGAATTTAGCTCAATCTCCAATTTTAATTCCCTTTTTATATCATCAATCGCTAATAATCACTTACAAATGATGACACATATCACTTGACTCAAGCCCTAAAATAGAGAAATTTCAATGGAAATATTCATATTGTAACATCCCACATCGACCAACGGAGAGGGGGTGATGTGTCTTTTATGTACATGTCCACTTCCATATAACACAAAGCTTTTTGGAAACTCACTAGCTTCAGATTCCATTGGAACTCCGAAGTTAAGCGAGTTCGGGCGAGAGCAATCCTAGAATGGGTGACCCACTGGGAAATTATCGTCTGAATTCCCATAAACAAAACCGTGAAAGCATGGTCGGGGTCCAAAGCGAACAATATCGTATTACGACAGATCTGGTCTAGGATGTGACAATATTGGTAACAGCTCATAATTATAAATGATGAAAGTTGTGAAAAATAAAAGAAATTTTTTACGAAATTGTTATTATTACTTCAAAAATCTCATTTTACACTGCTTACATTGTATTTATTTTTTTGTAAATATAGAAAGTTTAAAGTGCAAAATAAGAAATGTCAATAATAATTTTTTTTTAAATGAGACTTTAGAATATGTTCATTAATTTGTACTCGTATCTATTATTTGGAAAAAAAATTCAAAGAACTTTTGGTTTGATTGGACTAGTTAATGATGAACAAGGAATAAAACGCACCATGATTTTACATATATTTATAATGGTTTTCTACAATAATTTATACTTATAAATTGAATATTACTGTAAAACTAACTTTAAGAGTGATCACTTAGTACTACGGTGTAGTGGTATTCCTCTTCATTTGTAAATGAGAGGTCTTAGGTTCATTTCTCACCAAAGGTGAATTTGAATCATATTATTGCTAGCTCATTGTGATGCTAAGTCCACCCTTATCCCTTAGTGTAGATAATATCATTTGTTAAAAAAAAATTAAAAAAAAAATCCTTTAAGAGTGGGTGAGAGGTCAGGAGAGAGAGTACGGGTCAAGTGTATGAGAACTATATATATAAACCCTATGATCCTTTGCTTTTATTTATTTAAACTACATATTAATAGAATTTTGGTTGTTAATCAAAACTTTAGGAAGTTACAATTTTAACACTTTAATTAAAATTGAATAGAAATAAAATTATGGGCAATTTAGTAATTATAAGAACAAATTTAAAAAAAAAAAAAAAACGATATTCTTTACATTAAGGGAAGGAGGTGAGCTTAGCCTCACAACGGTTAGCAAGATTGTGGTTCAAATATACCTTTGGCGATAATCAAACTTAAGACCTCTAACTTACAAGTAATGAGGAATATCATTAAACCGTAATACTAAATGACAAATTTTGCTTTGTTTTTTTTAAAGCATCAACCACATATAATTTTAACGTCTCTAATTTTAAAAAATAAAAAATAAACCTTTCTCCTCTTTCTTCCACTCCCATGTTCTCTTTCACTCTCTTAATCTCTCCTTTTATCTTAAAAACAAAAATAAATCCTAATTATGATAAGTTTTATTATCTTAGCAGTAATACAAAGTCTATGAAAATTTAATTTTTAAATGCTATTATGATTCTACTTTAAGTTTACACAATTACATGATTTAACAAACATACAAATTACAACAAATATGTCTCCTTGATTAGCCATATATCCACAATATTTCGTTGATATATTTTGATATTTTTCAACGGACCTTGGGCCACAAGTGAAGGAACAGTGGTATCCTACGTGAATGCAGAAGTATTACATTAATTAGTAAATTTAAAAGGATTTTGGAGGAGGCTTTGGTTATTATATATGCTCTTATTTTGAATTTCTGATCACCATCAGGTGGGATATCTCTGCCATGGATCGTCTGCCACAGTACATGAAAGTTTGCTATCAGGCAATGTTGGATTCATACACAGAAATGGAAGAAAAGCTTCGAAATGAGGGGAACTTATATCGAATCCACTATGCTAGAGAAGCAGTAAGTCTCACTAACATTTCCAAGCGGCTAGTTATTAACTTATTATCATATGATAAGTAACGTTAGGAAAATCATCATATTTTTAATTTTTAAACCATTCACATTAGTCAATATCCAATGGATGAATCATACTTGGATATTGACTAGTTGTAGACCGTATACATATATGTGCAATTTTGTATATAATTATAAACATGATGAAAGATTTACAACATGATCACCTGGTATATCTCTCTCAGATGAAAGTTCTAGTTAGAGGGTACATGAGGGAAGCCAAATGGTTCCATCGCAAATACACACCTACATTGGATGAATATTTGTCAGCAGCACTTGATACATCCTCCTTTTCCCTAGCTGTCACGTCTTTTATTGGAATGGGAGATATTGTTACAAAAGACTCATTGGATTGGGTTTTCAATGACCCTAAGATTTTAAAGGCTGCATCCTTAATTGGTAGACTCAAGAATGACATCAAGTCCCACCAGGTACTTACGACTTGTATTTATAACTATAACCTTCATGAACCTTGAAAAGTGTGGCCGTTGCTAGAGCACCAAAATTCTTACCGATGCAAAATAAAATATAATAAAATAAATAGGTGACAAAAATTATAAAAAGGTCGCACTTACAGTATTAGTCGCACTTTTCTAACAAATTTTTTGTCATCGTGTTTCTTATATCATGATATGTATCATTGTCACCCTAGCAACAATCTCGATTTTCTTGAAGTTATTGCTAATTTCTCTTGTGGTGATCGTGTCCTTTTTTTTTTTGTAGTTTGAACAGAAGAGAGGACACGTTGCCTCGGCCGTGGAATGCTACATGAAACAATATGATGTCGCAGAAGAAGAAGCAACACTTGGACTAAGTAAACAAGTGAATAATGCATGGAAGGACATAAACGAAGCGTTGCTCCACCAAACCACCACAATCCCCATGCCTCTCCTGTTGCGAATTCTCAATCTTACACGAGTGGTCGAAGTGTTATACAAGCACGGTGACGCATTTACTAATACTGGAACTTTTCTCAAGGATATTGTAGTTTCTCTGTTTGTCGAACCGGTGCATCTATAAAGTATCTCTAGACCTGAATACAACTAAATAAATTGAGGTCACGTTATCCAAAGGCATGAAGTATAAAATAAGGAGCCAGTGTCTTACTATACTGGTCGATAGTTTGAATTCATGTTTGAATCAAGTAGTTTGAATTGTGTGTTTAAATTCCACTGCTTTACTATATAAGTTTTTTTCCTTCACTTTTCATGCATTGCATTCAGTTTGATGGGGTGGTAAATTTGTAATGGTCATCAGAGGAGCAAAAAATGTACTCTAAACGTTTGTCTTTATAAATTTTGTGTTGATATATATTATTCAAAATCAAACGTGAATGATTGTATTTACATCAGCGTCGAAAGTATTATAAAGTCAAATTGGTTCAAAATGCTTTTATTAGAAGCTCTCATTCTATCTGGCTAGTAGGCTAGTAGCAAAGGCAACAGCATGCGCAGCCTTGTTACATTGTCTTCTTGGACAGTGCCGCAGTTAAAATTTTATGTGTGCTTGTGCGGCGGGAGATGTGATATACAACAGAATTCATATTCTATGAACAAAACATAGAATCTTCACTTCAGTCAAATAACTTCCAGCACAAATCACCAACCTTCCCTCTAACACAATATCCCGAATTATAACAAAAATATATTATATAAAGTTTGTAACTAACACATGCGCCCACCATGCTTATTTTTCAAATTTGAGTGTGTAATGCAATCATCATGTTGCTGTCTTATAGGTGGCCATCACATTTTCCTCCGGTCCTCTTTTGAATTTTGATTACTGCTCTTCCACAACTCCATAAATTATTATCGATGATTGACACCTCCAAACAAATCACATATTAAAACGCCCAACATCATTCGGTCGGATGATTAATCACTTCAAACCTAAACCTTGACTCACATATACTCTTCAAAATTAAAAAACAAATAATATTAAAAGAAAAATAATTTAAATCAAAATTTCACAATAGTGTTTCAAATATATAAATTTAGAAATTGAAGTTGGCACAAAGATATTATCCTTCTAACTTATTAAATAATTTAATTACAGCAAGTAGGTCAGTGGATATACGACGAGTAGTTCAGTGAAAATACGATAGAATTTCAAGTTTGATTTGCTTCCTGATCTTAAGTTCGAGCTACAACATAAATGATTTTTTAATTGACAACTTAAAGAAGACGTGTGCGACTGTTAGCCATTAATGGACTCAAATACCTTTAACCTTTTCGGGCCTTCTTAGGAACTAGTCTTATACTTCCGAGGGTGGGTATCTCAAGTTAAATGAGGTACAAAAGACAAAACAAGGATTAAAATATGTAAAAAACAATAATTTTAATGATTCCAAGTTCTAATGATAAGGTAAGGACTAAAATGTTAGCTTCCTCATCTGTAACCAAATAATTAAAAGTTAAGAAGCAGCTCTCCCTCCACCTCTCTCTGTCTCTCTCTCTTTCTCTCTCTCTGCAACAGCATTGCCTGTATATCTCACTGTAGAAGCCTGGAAGCTTAAGTTCCCGAATCAGAGAGAACCCATTTTCCATTTTACATCCCATTCCAAAACCAAATCACACCAACTCGAAACCATGAGTTTCGCCGGACCCAGAATCTCAAAACCCGCAAAACCCCCAAACCCATCAGCCACAACGCCGCCGCAGCCGCAGCCGCAGCAACTTTCCTCTTCAAAGTCCTCTTCTTCTTCCGCTTCATCTTCCCTCTCGACCCACCTGGCCATGGTGGAGCTCAAGCAGAGAATCCTCACCTCCCTCTCGAAACTCTCCGATCGAGACACGTACCAAATCGCCGTCGAAGATCTCGAGAAAATTATCCAAACTCTCCCGCCGGAGAGCCTCCCTATGCTCCTCAACTGCCTCTACGATGCCTCCGCCGATCCGAAACCTGCCGTCAAAAAAGAGTCTTTGCGCCTGCTCTCATTGGTCTCTGCTTCCCATCCCGATTTCACATCCACCCATTTGACCAAAATCATTGCCCACGTTGTCAAGAGGCTCAAGGACGCCGATTCCGGCGTCAGGGACGCGTGCCGCGACTCCATTGGCTCGCTCTCGGCGCAGTACTTGAAGGCAGATAGTGTGAGCGACAATGGGTCGGTTGTGGGTTTATTTATGAAGCCTTTGTTTGAGGCTATGATGGAGCAGAACAAAGGGGTGCAATCTGGTGCGGCATTGTGCATGGCTAAGATTGTGGACTGCGCTTTAGAACCGCCTGTTTCGTCTTTTCAAAAGCTGTGTCCAAGGATCTGCAAGTTGCTCAACAATCCTAACTTCTTGGCTAAGTCATCGCTCTTGCCGGTTGTTTCGAGCCTGTCTCAGGTTTGCTTAGTAGATTATCTTCACATGCTTTTTCACATTCAAGTGATCTAGTAGTTATGTACATTGTGGTCTCGAACTCGATATAGTCATGTACATTGTTCTAGATTTTGTAGTAAAGTAGGTACTTATGTGGTTGTTTGATTGCTAAAAGGATGTAGGACACATAAGATAGAAAAGAGTGGTAATTTGGAGTGTTGACTTGAAATCTGTCGTGTTTGATGTAGTGAGAACGTATACATAGTCTTATTGTCAATAGAATGTAGGTGCATAGACTTTGATCTATACATTGGATCATTTAATTGGACTTTACTGATCTGAAGAGTTACCTACTTGTTGTAGGTTGGAGCGATTGCGCCCCAAAGCTTGGATAATCTACAGCAAAGTATTCATGACTGCCTTGGAAGCCCAGATTGGGCAACACGTAAAGCAGCAGCCGATGTGCTGATTGCATTAGCATTGCATTCAAGCAACATGATTACAGATAGAACTGCTTCCACCCTGGCTGTGCTTGAGGCTTGCCGTTTTGACAAGGTAGTCTTTTGTTGCATATTATCTCAAGTGCATTAGCTTTTTATCTTACTATCTATGTTCACTAGGTGATTGCCAGAATTCAAAATGTCTAGGGGATTACTTGATTATAGTATTGCATGTTTGAGTGAGTATTGTATAAGGATCAACATATTTTTTAACTTGGGATTTGTATTTGTAACCGGCACACCATTACATAGGAGATTCAATACTGAACAGTATGTCATTGGAAGGTGGCATTGTATGCACACCATTATACAGAGGAACGTAGCATTGTATTTTCGCTTGCCTTAGTGTCCAAAGTTTGGTTTGGTTTGTATTTACAGATTAAACCTGTTAGAGATAGCATGACAGAGGCATTGCAGTTTTGGAAAAAGATAGCTGGGAAAGGAGGAGATGAAGCTCCAAATGAAAAGAAAGTCCCGTCTCATAGTAAGCTTATCAATAATACTATCTTTCATAAAACGCTCGTTCAATTTTCTCATCCTTTTGTTCCTCACTGGATCATTTTGTTGTTACCACATTTTAATAAAGAAAATTCTGAATCAGCTGAGTTGTCAGAGAAGAATGAGCCAAAAAATTCAAAGGCTGGTGAGAGAATAGAGCAAGGAGCAAAGGGTTCATCTAATGGTTCATCCCCTACTTCAGATTCTGTTTCTAAATCCAAAGCCAGTGGAGATAAAGTGGTTGTAGCTTTGAAGAAGAAACCACCTGTCTTAACTGATAAAGAGCTAAACCCAGAATTCTTCCAGAAACTTGAAAAAAGGGTTTCTGATGATTTGCCTGTTGAGGTAGTTGTTCCTCGTAGACACGTCAATTCTTCAAACTCAAATAATGAGGTGGAACCAGAGGCAAATGATACAGATTCCAAGGAAACTTTAAACCGGATTGCAAACAGCCAATCTGATGATATTCATGGATCTTTCAGTAGTAAATACCGTAACATAGAGAGAGGATTAGCTGGTCTCTATACTAAACAACGAGATCATGATGACCTTGCACGAGATAAATTTCCAGAAGAAAGGGTGAATGGAAAAGACTCCAGAACAAGGGCAGTTGATATTGATGAGAGGATTGAGATAAATCAAAGGGAGTTGTCCACTAGTCGTGCAGGTTTCTCCAAAACTGATGGTCAACCTGAAGGATCCTTTGTCAATAACAAAGGAAATTGGCTGGCTATCCAAAGGCAATTGTTGCAGCTGGAGAGACAACAAGGTCATCTGATGAGCATGTTGCAGGATTTCATGGGCGGTTCTCATGACAGTATGGTAACTTTGGAGAACAGAGTAAGGGGTCTTGAGAGAGTTGTTGAGGACTTGGCAAGAGATTTATCAATATCATCAGGTAGAAGAGGCGGTAATTTTTCAATGGGATATGAGGGGGCATCTAATAGGCCTTTAGGTAAGTACAACGGTTTTCCGGATTACACTAGTAACAAGTTTGGAAGAGGTGGAGATGGACGAATTCTGTTTGGCGAAAGATTTTCCCAAAATGATGGACATGTTTCCGGCATGAGGGGGCGGGGCCCTACTTGGAGATCTGACATGTCTGAGGTGTGGGATTTTTCAACATATGGTGGTTCCAGAAATGGACAGACTAGTTCGAGGAAGGCCGTAGGAGGTGGTCCTGTGGATGGTAGGTCACCCAAATCAGAGAATGGGAGTGACCAGGGTAACAGCAGGCGAGCATGGGATAAAGGGGCTGGACCTGTAAGGTTTGGTGAGGGGCCTTCCGCAAGAAGTGTTTGGCAAGCTTCAAAAGATGAAGCTACCTTGGAAGCAATTCGTGTGGCTGGAGAGGACAATGGAACATCTAGAGCAGGAAGAGTAGCTATACCTGAATTGACTGCAGAGGCTATGGAAGATGATACTGTGGGCCAAGAGCGCAATCCAATTTGGAATTCTTGGACTAATGCAATGGATGCTCTTCAAGTGGGTGATGTGGATACGGCCTTTGTGGAAGTATTGTCTACAGGAGATGATCTCTTGCTTGTAAAGTTAATGGACAGATCAGGTCCTGCGATTGACCAACTTTCAAATGAGACAGCAACTGAGGTCTTGCATGCCGTTGGGCAATTTTTACCAGAGCCAAACTTGTTTGATGTCTGTTTGGCTTGGATTCAGCAGGTAGCATTTTTCCCCCTCTTAACGGACGTGAGTAAACTATTTTTAAGTATGTGTTTCACTAGTTTTCTTCTTGACGGTTAGACTCACTTAAAGTCTTTCATCTTGCAACTTGTGTTGATTAGAACATGACTACGAGCACCTTTTAATTTCATGTTCGTAACAAGATTTTCTCAAATCTATTTTCTCTGATAATTTCGGAATAGCAATGGGGTTAGCATACGTGTTTGCTTCATAGAATGCGATAGTATCAATAATTCCTATATTTTCAATTTTGTTGCTTTTGGTGTCCGGTTATGGCAATTCCCCAGTTTGACTTGGTTTGACCATTTAGTCCTCTATTTCCATTTTGCAGTTGGTTGAAATAGTGCTGGAAAATGGATCTGATGTTTTCGGCCTTCCCGCTGACGTAAAGAAGGAACTCGTTTTGAATCTGCATGAGGCTTCTGTAAATCCACCCGAGGACTGGGAAGGTGCAACGCCGGATCAACTTTTGGTGCAGTTGGCATCATCCTGGGGAATAAATCCGCAGCATCATGACAAATAGTTTCTAGTTGTATGTATTGCCAACTTGTATTGAATTCAAACTTGCGTTTTGAGTGGAGTGGATGATTTAGAAATCTTACAGTTAGCATGAAATGAATGTAATTGCCAATTGACATATATAAGTTTCCAACATCTGTGACTACCTGTGAACTTAAGTTAGAAACTAAGTGCATACTTTTATGCCATATACCGTCCTTGTAGCCGATTGGTTTCTTATTAGAGTTGAAAATACACAAATTCGGCATTACCCCTTTTGGAGAAATAATCTTAGATGAAGTATGCTGCTGTTAGTGACTACAAGTGTAGGTGATTTTTAACCGATAATGCATGTGGTGCTCACAAAGAAACAATGGTTGTCTTTCTTTAACGCGGTAGGCAGGCACTAGGAAAATTCTCCCCGACTAACCTTGGCGGCCATTTCCATGAGAAATTTGTTCCTTCCCGGCTCACATCAACCCTACCCAACATGCGATCAAGCAAACCGGTTGTACTGGACTTGGTCGTGTATGAGGCACAGATGACGTGGTTCATCCGAAAAAGGAAAAAGTATTGTACCAAAAGAAAGAAGATAAAAGAAACGAGGAAAGCTTTATGATAAGACATACATTAGCAGTTTCGCGAAAGAAAGTACAAGGCAGTACTATTTCTATATATACAAGGCCTGCTCTTCATTGAGCCTTCTTCCCCAAAAAGTCTAAACCGCGGCCCCTCCGGATACATAATACACCGACTGTCCTCATGACCAGAGGGTCTTAAACCGGGAGTATAACTCTTTCACCTCTTATTCTCTTTTCCTTTCCTCCCTTTCTCTCACATTTTGTTTTTTGTCCTTTTATCTTTATAAAAAAAATCAATATAAGATATTAGTGTAACTTAACCGTAGTCGTTTAAATAGAAGAGGAAGGAAGGAGAGAGAAATTAGGAGGGAAGAGAATTCTCCTTCCTTAAACTGAAAGCCCACCTTTGTAATTAACGATCGTATCTACTTGTTAGCGTACCAGTTTTGTGCACATTTTTAAGAAATCATTTTTGAAAACGTTATGGGAAAGTTGGTCGGTCAGCCACTAGTTGTCGGAAAAGTTAGTGAATATAATACTATTCATAAATGATTTTGGTTGACTTTTCCAATTGCGGCATTTTGTTGAACCGCATTATTACTAGCCTATTGTTAGGCTTAGCATACTCCCCCACCCTTTAATGTAGATAATATTTCTAGTTAAAAAAAATAATGCCTCAATTATTGAAAAAAAAAAAGGTACCCCTATTAATTATCAAAACCTATGGGGCTGTTTGACTTGTTTTTAATTAAACTAAAAGCTTTGGGCTATAGTTAATTAAAGAAGACAAATGACAAGCCCAAAGGAGCCAAGTAAGACCTAGTTTGGGAGTGAAGTGCTTAAAAAAAAGGGAACTTTAACGAAAAGCACTTGGTACTGTTCACTTTAACGAAAAACCACATTTTTACACTAAAAAGTCAATCCTGGTACTATTCACTTTACCCTTTATTTTGTCCTTATCATTAAAACTCAAAGTTTTTAAGCCCTTTTCATTAGTTTTCCTTAAAAAAAAAGCACCCATGAAAAAAAGCTGTGAGGGTTTTAGGTGTTTGGTAAACTGAAAAAAAAGGGCTTATTTTGGAAGTTGCTGTGAGAATAAGCTGAAATCAAAGGAAAAAGCTGAAGCTGCTATTTGCAGCTTTGGAAAACTGGCTTTTTTTCAAAGCACACAGAGCTACAGTTCTTCTTTAATGAAAAGACCCACTATTAGACTGTTTTTTTTTTTTTTCCAAAAGCACTTTTACAAAAAAGTTTACCAAACACTCTGCTGATTTATTTCACAACCGCTTATTCTCATAACAGTTTTTTTTCAAAGCACAGCAATACCAAACCAGCCCTTAGGCTGATGCAAGTAGTGTACCTCCTTGGCATCAAGCCCTTAGAGTTCGGCTAGTAGGCACCATAAATATGCCATGTTCTCTAACATTGTGTTTGAATGAGGAAATTTAAGATTACTAAGAAATTTCAAAACGACGGAGTTTTCTTTTTTAGAATTTGTGAATTTCTTGTTTGGTTAACTTAAAAGAACAATGAAATTTGAATATAGAATTCTTTATTTTTAAACTCTCACTCACAGAAACTTGGAAATAACACCTACTTACATAGAATTTAAACTTGGGAATTAGAGGTCCCAAATTCTAAGTTCTTTTTTTTTCACGTGGAAATTTTAAATTTCTATATTTATGAGTCCAAACAAAAGAATTGGTGCATGTTAATTTATAAATTTTAACTTGTGTCAAAATTTCAAATGTATTTCCTTCATCAAACATAGGGTAATTCTCTTATGTTCAACTTTGTCCCTTAGAGAAAAAGTGATAAAACCCCATAGCTAAAAATTAGATCATGTGTGCCCAAATTAATCCAACGAGATATCTTACTAGCACAATCGAATCCCTCACTTCATCATTCGTCATTGATGTATCATTATGGATACTCTTAGAGGCTAACCACTTGGGGCCTTTCTTGTGAATCAATCATGAAGAGGAAAATACAACACAAGGATAATCTTACAAAGTAGCACGACTAAGGAATTTTGTAAAGGAATTTTGTAAGAATGGAAGGAAAATGTCTTAGGAAAATGTCTTCTCTGGTTAAGGAGCTCAGCACTTTACTCTTTGGACATAGCTAATGTTTGGTTAGTTGCAGTTCCTTCAAGAACAATTTAAGCGCAGGGGAAAATGAACCGGGTGAAAATTTTCAAATCCAAAATTAAAGAAAAACAAAGCAAAAAACTTGCTCTTATAATCATCTAAAAAATTTGGTACAGCTGACATGAAACTAACGAATTCTGGTTTTGTTACATTTCCATGCATTTCATCTCGGACCAGAGAGAATGGATGCTTGGGGTGCCACAGAAATAAGGTGATCCTGATGATTTGATTTAGAAGCAGAGGCCGTTGGATGACTAAACTTATAAATGATGTCTGGATCCACTTCCGTTAGTCCTTGCAAGGCCTGCACTACTGCTGACATGAGAGGCCTTCTAGTGTGATCATGCTGCAGACACCAAACTCCGATCCGGATAGTCCTCAACACTTCCTCCCTATGATTTTCCATGTCTTCATCCAAGTCTTCCACAATATCAATCAGTTGGTCCTGGTCATCTCCATCACCACCCTTCTTTTCCAACATTTGAGGTAAGACGAAAATAGACTCCGACCTCGAGCTGTCCGAGATTTTCCTTCTGGCAACTATTTCAAGAAGAACAATCCCAAAGCTGTATACATCAGATTTAACGGTGACTGTTGAATCAGGAGCAACATAACCTGGAGTTCCTAGCATTCCAATAAGCAGTTGGCTCTGATCTCTTGCAATTAGCTTGGACAACCCGAAATCAGAAATCTTGGCGTTGAAGCTTTCATCCAAGAGAATGTTATGTGGCTTTACATCAAGATGTATTATTTTGTGCCTACAATCTTCGTGAAGATAAGCCAGCCCTTTGGCTACGCCAAGTATAATCTTCTTTCGAGTGGCCCAATTTAGATCCTTGTAACCTAGCTATGTTAAAATGGTGTATACTCCCAATTGTTTCAACTTCTTCTAAGAACCCTATCTCCGCTGGACCCATTCTACCCAACCTCTTCACAGCAACCTGTGTGGTGCCATCAGCAAGGAACAAGTGTTTATTTTTCAACCCATGGAAATTTACCATAGACCGGAGATCTATTATTTTCTTTCGTCTATATCTTTCGTCATGCGATGTTACACCTTAGAATTTGTCAATTGTTACGCCCTAAGAATTTGCTTGTCATGTAATAAATGGTCTTAGATGCCCAACACGAAAAAGAAAGAAAGAAAATTCTATTAGCAACAATTAAAAAAGTTCAGTCGACGAACAAAGGAAGATATTATTAGCAACTGCTATTTCCTCCCTTCACTTATTGCTAGCCCCTTGCTATCGCAATCAATTCAATTATTCAATTTGTCTGCGAGCATTGTTTTTTATATTTCACAGCTGACAACTGGAGTCAGTAGAGTTTTTGTTGGTATATGGTCTAGCCCATGATCAATGTTCTAAATTATTCTAATAAGCAAATGAGGTGGCTAGAGCATGCTAAACAATTCTAGCATATTATTAAGTTGATTGAAGAAGCTAGAGAGTACTAGCTTCCTTGGTTGCAAATGGAAAGATCTAGAAGCTACAATTTTGTGGTTATCTATGCTAGAGGTTTGAAGAATACACTAGAAACTAGTAGGATGCCAAACCCTCACCTATAAATATGGGTGTGATGTTGTAGTGAAGTAACCAATTAAGAACCAAGAGTGAGTAGCAAAGGATCAAGTCCAAAGCTATAGTTCCACTCCAAGAGTGAGAGTGAGAGTGTTCCACTACACATTGTGAGTGAAGTTTAGAGTGATAGAAAGTGTGTGTCATACTTTCTTGTATACGTCAAGCCTTGTCTTTGGCTTGGTAAGACTACTCTTGTTGTACTCATCTTTTTCATATAGTGAAGATTGATCCTTGTTTCGTGGACGTAGGCATAAATTGCCGAACCACATAAATTCTTGGTGTCCATTTTCTGCTTTACCTTGAGCATTCTCTATCTTGTAGTACCGACATTCCTAACAAGTGGTATCAGAGCCCGGTTGGCTCGTACTACGAGATGGAAGAAAGTGGCACTATGATCAAACTTACCAACTCCAATTGGGTAACATGGAAGCCAATGATGGAGGACATTTTCTATTGCAAGGATCTGCATGAGCCAATTGAAGGAGATGCCGCTAAGCTCGAGAGCATGTCCGATGCCGAGTGGAAGAAGATGAATCGCAAGGTTATTGGCACAATTAGACAATGGGTGGACGATAGTGTTTTTCACCATATGTCTAATGAAACCAATGCCCGTGAGTTTTGGACAAAGCTTGAGTCCTTGTTCGAGAAGAAGACCCTAGCCAAGAAAGCCTTTTTGATCAAAGAGCTCATCAATGTGAAGTACAAGGATGGTTTAAGTGTAGTAGAACACTTGAACAATTTCTAGAATATCATCAACCAGTTAGCTACTATGAAAATGACGATCGAGGACGAGCTACAAGCGCTCTTGTTACTTGGATCCTTGCCAGACAGTTGGGAGACCTTTGTGGTGAGTATAAGTAACTCTGCTTCTAATGGTGTTCTTACTCTTGATAATGTTAAAAATAGCATGCTCAATGAAGAAACAAGGAGAAAGACTTCTGGCACAGATAGCAACCAAGTATTTGTCACAGAGAACCGCGGAAGAAGCAAGAGTAGAGGGCCTAGAGGTCATGGCAGGAGTCCTAGCCGATCCAAGTCAAGGTTCAGGGATACATGCGACCATTGTGGCAAAGAAGGCCATATGAAGAAAAATTGTCGAGTTTGGAAAAGAGAGAAAAGGGAAGGAAACAATCACAAGAAAGATGATACTGGCAATACCATCGCCGTCATATATGGTGATGTACCAGAAATATTGTATGTTGGTGAATGTCTGCATATGGGCAACTCTAACAGAGACATTGAATGGATCTTTGACAATGGAGCTTCCTTCCATGCTACGTCCAAACGGGAGTTCTTTAGTACATACAAAGAAGGTGACTTTGGCATAGTGAAGATGGGGAATGAAAGTTATTCCAAAATTCTTGGAATTGGTGATATTTGCCTAAGAACTAATCTCGGCTGCTAGTTGATGTTGAAAGATGTGAGACATGTTCTTGATATATGTCTCAATTTGATATCCATCGATACCCTTGATCGACAAGGTTATTATCACCATATTGGCGAAGGAAAATTGAAGCTTACTAAAGGCTTAATGGTCTTACTAAAGGCTTAATGGTAGCAAGAGCACGACTTTGTTGTACGTTGTATCAGTCAAATGCCAAGGTTTTGAAAGGTGAGTTGAATGCTGTGGATGACTCATCTCTAGACTTTTGGCACAAGAGGCTAGGCCACATGAGTGAGAAAGGCCTACAAGTTATGGCAAAGAAGTCTCACATTCCCTTTGCCAAAGGTACGTCGTTAAACTCTTGTGAGCATTGTTTATTCAGAAAACAAAGAAGTGTTAGTTTTTCTGTTCCATTTACAACGAAAGGAATTTTGTTAGATCTTGTTTATTCAGATGTGTGTGGTCCCATAGAAGTTGAGTCACTTGGAAGAAATAAATATTTTGTTACTTATATTGATGATGCTTCACGAAGGGTCTGGGTGTATTTGTTGAAATCCAAAGACCATGTGTTTCAGACATTCCAGAAGTTCCATGCCATGGTGGAGAGGGAAACTAGGAAACCTCTCAAGTGCCTTCGTAGTGACAACGGCGGCAAGTACACATTTCACCAGTTTAGAGAGTATTGTGTGAAACATGGCATATGTCATGAGAAAACAGCTCCTGGAACTCCATAACATAACGATATTGCTGAAAGAATGAACCGAACCATCATGGAGAAAGTCATGTGTATGCTGAGGACTGCAAAGTTATCTAAGCAGTTCTGGGGTGACGCTATAAGGACAGCCTGTTATGTGATCAACCGATCTCCATCAGTACCATTAGGTCTTGATGTTCCAGAAAGAGTATGGACTAGTAATGATGTGGCTTACTCTCGTCTGAAGGTGTTTGGCTGCAAAGCTTTTGTGCATGTGCCCAAAGAGCAGAGATCGAAGTTAGACTACAAAGCTACACCGTGCATCTTTCTTGGTTATGGCGGTGAAGATTTTGGTTATAGATTATGGGACCCATACCAGAAGAAGTTTATCCGAAGTAGAGACGTGGTCTTTTATGAAGATCAAACAATTAGGGATTCGGATAAAGAGGCACAACTAGATGGCGCAATCAGAGGAGTTGATCCATTAGCTTCAGATGAAGAAAGTCACGATGACATCCCTGAAGCAGCTGCCAATGAAGTGCCTGCATAACCAGATAATATTGATCAATGAGAGCCTGATTAAGATGTGCCAGACCATGAGATTGCTGATCAGAGGGAGCCTAGTCAAGAAGAGCATATTCAAGGAGAACCCAATCAGGGGGAGCCTCCAGCCCCGCAAGAGAATGAAGATCAGGTCAGAAGATCCAGCAGAAGTCGAAGACCGTCTACCAAGTATTCTTCATCAGAATATATCATGTTGACTAATTATGGAGAGCTCGAAACTTATGAGGAGGCCAGAGCTCATAACGACAGTGATAAATGGATGAAGGCAATGGAGTCAGAGATGGATTCCTTATTAAAGAATGATACCTATGAGCTGGTGGAGATTCCAAAAGGCAGAAAAACATTGAAAAACAAGTGGGTGTTCAAATTGAAAAGGGATGACAACATGACAAGGTACAAGGCTCGTTTGGTTGTCGAAGGTTTTGGTCAAAAGAAAGGAGTTGACTTTGATGAGATTTTCTCATCGGTGGTGAAGATGACTTCCATTCGAGTTATCCTTGGTATGGCAGCAAGCATGGATCTTGAGCTCGAGCAGTTAGACGTTAAGACTGCATTTCTCATGGCAACGTAGAAGAGGAGATATATATGGAGCAACCCAAAGGCTTTGAAGTCAAAGGTAAATAAACTTTGGTGTGCAAGCTCAAGAAAAGCTTATATGGTCTTAAGCAGGCTCCGAGACAGTGGAATAAGAAGTTCAACTCATTCATGGTGAGTAATGGGTACAAGAGAACTCATGTTGACTCTTGTGTCTATATCAAACAATTTTCTGGAGGTAAATTAATCATTTGATTGCTTTATGTTGATGACATGTTGATTGTCGGTCAAGATGCTTCTATGATTAAAAAGCTCAAAGAAGAGTTATCTAAGTCTTTTGACATGAATGACTTAGGGCCAGCCAGCAAATTTTGGGCATGGAGATAATTTGTGACAGAAAATCCAAGAAGTTGTGGCTATCACAAGAAAAGTATGTTGAACGGGTGCTTGAAAGGTTCAACATGAAAGCAGCCAAATCGGTAAGCTCACCTTTAGCTAATCATATCAAGTTGAGCAAAGAGTCATGTCCAAAAACATATGAAGAAAAGGAGAAAATGGTAGTTGTTCCCTACTCTTCAGCAGTAGGAAGTATCATGTATGCAATGGTGCACACAGCCAGATATTGCTCACGCAGTAGGTGTGGTGAGCAAGTTTCTCTCTAATCCAGGGAAAGACCATTGGGAAGCTCTTAAGTGGATTCTCAGATATTTGAAGGGGACTTCTAAGATGTGCTTGTGCTTTGGCGGTTCCAAACCAATCTTGGAAGGATTTACAGATGCTGACATGGGAGGTGACCTGGATGGTAGAAAATCTACATCTGGGTACTTGTTTACTTTTGCAGGGGGAGCCGTGTCTTGGCAATCCAAGTTGCAAAAGTGTGTTGCTTTGTCCACAACCGAGGCTGAATACATAGCCGCTACAGAAGCATGCAAGGAGTTGTTGTGGCTGAAGCGGTTTCTCCAAGAGTTGGGTTTGAAGCAAAGTGATTATGGCGTTTATTGTGATAGTAGAGTGCTCTGGATTTAAGCAAGAACACTACATATCATTCACGCTTTAAGCACATTGATATTCGTTATCACTGGATTAGAGATGCTATCGAGAACAAGTTACTACAGCTGAAGAAGATTCATATCGATAATAATTCTTCAGACATGTTGACAAAGGTAGTCACAAAATCAAAGTTGAAATTCTGCATTAAGGCTGCTGGGATGGACTCTAGGTAACTTGGAGTCATGATCGGAATTCCTCCTCATGGACTGGAGGAGGAGATTATTGGTATATGGTCCAGCCCATGATCAATGTTCTAGATTATTCTAGTAAGCAAGTAAGGTGGCTGAAGCATGCTAGACAATTCTAGCATATTATTAAGTTGATAAAAGAAGCTAGAGAGTACTAGCTTCCTTGGTTGCAAATGGAAAGATCTAGAAGCTACAATTTTGTGGTTATCTATGCTAGAGGTTTGAAGAATACACTAGAAACTAGTAGGATGCCAAACCCTCACCTATAAATATGGGTGTGATGTTGTAGTGAAGTAACCAATTAAGAACCAAGAGTGAGTAGCAAAGGATCAAGTCCAAAGCTATAGTTCCACTCCAAGAGTGAGAGTGAGAGTGTTCCACTACACATCGTGAGTGAAGTTTAGAGTAATAGAAAGTGTGTGTCATACTTTCTTGTATCCATCAAGCCTTGTCTTTGGCTTCGTAAGACTACTCTTGTTGTACTCATCTTTTTCATATAGTGAAGATTGATCCTTGTTTCGTGGACGTAGGCATAAATTGCCGAACCACATAAATTCTTGGCGTCCATTTTCTACTTTACCTTGAGCATTCTCTATCTTGTAGTACCGACATTCCTAACAGTTTTCACATGCTCCAACCTCGATGCAAAGGAATGGCGTACTCAATAACTTCTTTTGTAAGTCGGGATAGAAGTAGTCATAGGTGAGGTATGCTTTTCCCACGTTATTATTTAATGTTCTTGCGGAAGATGTAAATATTTCTTTAAAATTTTTGTAAAAAGCTTTATGGTTTCACGGAATTTTGTTTTTTCAATTGGTGGCGGTTTCTTATCACTATTTTTTTTGTTCAAATATCGATATTTAGCAGTAAATCTTTCTTCTATATATATTTTTTTTTGGACAAACGATAGAATATCTATATTAAACCACGAGAAGAAGGATTTGAACATGAAACCTTTTGGTGATGTGTTTAGGCTTTAGCAAAGCATATTGGTCGTTTTTATACGAAGAAAAAAAACACCTATTTTTGGGGGCGTAAACTTCACTAACCTAAGAATCCTTGTCTAATGTGTTAATTGTATATACTGTGGAGAAATCTCAGGCTACAAAACACATTTAACCATTTGAGTTCATTTTAAACCTTCTCCTTTATAAGAAAAACTTTTACTCAACGGGATACAACATTCCAAGCTAATTACGCTAAATAATCTAAAACATAAGATATGTGATTGACTTGAGATACTGTCATATCAAATTCTTATGGATACGTTTCTCTCTCTCATATACTCTTTTAATCCTTCATGCACACTATGAATCAAACACACCTACATATTTATGTTTTATATTGAAGAGTAAATGATGGCTGCAATCTGACATTGGTACAACAATTAGCAGAAACTGAAAATGTTGTTGAAGCCAACTGAATAGTGTATACTATCCTGCATCAGTCTGCACAAGATTTAAACGCGTATGTGAGTTAAATCATTTTTTTAAGACAATATTTCCACTCCATGCATCCTAGTTCAAAACTCGCTCGCTTTTGAACTGGGGTAGGCTTGTTCTCTTTTTGGGTTATTTGGGCCTGCCTAGTTAAAGTGCCTTAACCTTCCCCAAATCTTATATGATCAAACTTACAATTCTTGGGTCACAAGTCCCAACTTCTAAATCAACGTACAGAATGACCACAAAAAATCTCACCAGCATGCTAACACCAAAACTGGAGAGGAGAAGTGATTTATTGGTAATGGCACGGAGTTGGTATTTTACAGAGCAGCCTATCTAGCAACAACACAACATGATATGATCACATTTAGATTTCATGAAACATTAAATTCCATAGGCTTCTTTTCTCATTATGTCTCTCGTTCAACACCCGCACCATCAGTAGTGTCGACATTTCCGTCAGCGTCCGTATCACCTGCTTCGCCATCTAAGGTTAAATACGCTAACGCCGTTACAACGTCACTGATGAGCGGTCGTGTAGCAGCTTCTTCTTGGAGACACATTGCTGCAACAGCAAGAGCTTGGTAAAGACCCTTGATAGGGTACTTCCCTTCTAGCAATGGATCTGCCATTAACGTAAACTTCCTTCTGTCTTTAAATAATGGTTGTGCCTGCAAAAAATCGTGTTATTAACTTTATGGAAATTAGCCATTATAGAAGGATTTCAAAGAGATTTTCCGAAATAGCTTGAGAGATTATAAATTATGAACATACCCAAGTAACTAAATTCTGCTCTTCAGTTGGTCTGTTATTGTCTATGACTCTCCGTCCTGTGATTATCTCCAAAAACACAACTCCAAAGCTGTAAAGGTCGGATTTCGTTGTCAACTGCCCTGTTAGTGCATATTCAGGTGCACAGTAGCCATAGGTCCCCATCACCCTGGTGGATACATGAGTCATATCCCCTGTTGGACCTAACTTTGCAAGACCAAAATCGGAGAGTTTTGGATTGAAGTTCTCATCCAAGAGTATGTTAGATGCTTTGAAATCCCGGTATATCACTGGAGGATTTGCTTGTTCGTGTAAGTATTCAAGTCCTTTTGCTGCCCCCGCTGCAATTTTCATCCTAGTATTCCAATCCAAGGCCTTTTTTCCTGGAGCTAAATCTGAGAGTCAAAGTTTTGTTGTCGATCAGAAAGCAAGTACTAATAAATGTTATCTACTTAAGTGCGGGCAACGTGCAAATGCAAATTAGTAAATTGGTGCTTACCAAGAAGATGGTCCTCTAGGGATCCATTGGCCATGTACTCATACGCCAGAATCCTCTGATCACCATCCGCGCAATATCCAACCAAATTGACGAGGTGGGCATGGTGAAGAAGACTTAATATCAAAACTTCTACAAGAAACTCTCTGTTTCCTTGGAATCCATTCCTGTCTAGTTGCTTAACAGCAACAACCTGAAACGAGCGAACAATGGGGGTTATGATCCAACTAAATTATTGTATGTTGAGGGGAAAGAGAAAACGGATGAAATGAAGAGAGATGGATGGAAATACTACTTGTTCTGTGCCTTCAAATTTCCCTTTGTAAACCCTCCCAAAACCGCCTTCGCCAAGCAAATTGTCTGGATGGAAGTTGTTAGTTGCAACACAAAGTTCCCGGTAAGTAAAAATCTGAGCCGTAATGTTTCCTTTCCCAACCTTTGCTATCTCTTCGGCTATGTACTTCCTCCTGCTGCTATCTGCAGATTAAAATTCTCAATAGAGGCCAACAGTTTGAATTGTTGTTCCACACTGCTAAGTATTACTAGTATACTAGAAGGTATATATCAGGGTCTGCAGCCAACTTTCAGAAGATAGGACAAGTTGTGGTCGCAAATTAGATCATTTTCAACAAATCTACGTCAAAATTTTGATAATTATTTGCCAAAATATTAAGGAGGGAAGGTCGATTTTTGTATGGTAAAACCAATGTGAGCCTTCAAAAGGACAAATCTCCATCAAGCCAATGACAAATATATTGGGGATTTTTCAAGTGAATCTTCCACAGTACATAAAAGATAAATATATGTATGCGTACATACATATGTAAAGTAAGAAAGCTGATAAATTGCAGGCCTTGGATATGAATACTTGATTGATAGACCAAAGTGTTAAAAGACGTAAATCTTTGATATACGAATGCATGCTATAATCCGTAACATATTATTTAAGGATTGAAAAATAAGACCTCTTCGCAGATCCATACCCTATTAGAGAGTAATCATGTATATTATATGTATGTATGTCATTTAAAGTAATGGCGTCATTTGATTTTTCAGGGAAGATTTACGCCGAGAGAAGAATTTACCAGTTTTGAAGGAGATGTTAGCGAAAGAGGCTAAAGTTTTGGTGTCATGGTATTCCTTGATACTCTTTTTTAATGACTTCCTGGCGTTTTTCTCTTCTGACATGCAACATTGGAAGCAATTCATCGTTTTCTTTCCCTCGCCAACTCTAATCCGATGCAACCACCTTCAAATTGTCATCCAAATCTTGCATGGATTCCAGGAAAAAAACACTCACAACATACCAAAAAAATTCAAACCTTTGGCACGCTTCGATCCAAGAAACCAACAAGTGCAGATGAAACAAGCCTGAGAAATTGGTTAGACAAACGGGGGATATTGATCTGATACGTTATGAAAACAGCCTTGGCTCTGGAAAAACCAGAATGCTAGTTTCTGGTCCTTCAAGAACCAAGAGCTTGATCCCTCACATTGTTTCTTTTGCTTGCTCCCTCTATCCAAACCATTGAGTTCGGACAGCCAAAACAGACTAGGTCAAGTTTGCTAAATATGGAGGGACAGCCAAGCATTCTTTTTTCTTTAACAACAGCAAAATTGTGTTTTTTTTTTTTTCAATATTAATTTGTACTTGTAATTGTGCTGGAGACAGGGCAGGACAAAAATACAACCTCCTATTATTTTCATAACCAAAAGTTTACCTTTCCCTTAATTGGCAAAAATCTCAGTGAATTTCCAACCATATCCACATTTATCTTCTCAGGAATTTGCTGGCAATGTAAAGAGATTATGTAATTTGTAGCAAGAAAACGACTTTATTTTGCATATGTGGATTAGGTCAGTTTGCTTGCCCTCTTGCACCCAACTTTGAATTCCCTCTTTCAACATAAATTAGAGTAGTTTAGAATAAAAATGTCTCGCGTGCTGACAGTAAATTTGATGTCTGAAACATGAATGAAATCTATCATATGTGCAATTCAAATGCCACTGTGTTTTGGTCTCATTTGACCCCACGCTGATCCCACCGGTGTGAGAGCTTCCTACCGACGTTTCTAGATACAATGAAGATTCTATCTAAGAAAATGAAAAATTAGTAAAACAACCAACCCAAGGGTGACATCTTAAGTGAAAGGATAAAAAAGGGCAAGTCAGCACACCTTTCAGTTCTGTTATACCTAAAATCTATCTTAGACCGTAGAACAGTCTTTGCCAATCATTCATAGTTTGAGAAAAAACCAATCACACTACTATCATAATTTTAACAACTCATTAAAACAAGAGATTATAGAACAGTCTTTCCCAACAAATTATATCAAACAACCCTGTTTCCCCGATCATAATTTGAATTTTCCTACAATGATCTGTGATGGCTGCTGCTGTTCTCGGCGGAGAAAAGTTTGGACCTGCCATCCCACACTACTTTATCACCATGACACGAACAAATGATATCATGCCAAAAACCATCTGTGGTTTACATCAATGCCACCATCATCAGAAGCTTAAGCAGTAGATTGGCCAACTGACAACAAATTAAACTAGCAAGAAGCAAAAACACTTATATATGTTCATTAGCTTGTAACAAATTTCACTACTAACCTGGAATAAGCTCTAAATATTCCACCAAGACAGTGAGCCTGATAAGTTAACAAAATGCAAAAAGTGAACAGATATTAAATCATCCATAATTGCATATATCCATAAGCCCAACAAGTTGCCTAAGGATTTTGTTTCTCTTTTGAGTTTAACCCCAGAAGTTTCTCCAGATTCGCAACCCTCGTTAGTATTTCAACACTCTCCATGGAGTCATCAGGCTTTGTTTTTTTTACTTCTTTCAGAGAACCTTTTTCAGGTTGATTGCGTTTATGGTCATTAACCCCCATAGGTTTCTTGAAAGACCCTTCAGGCATTGCTTTCTTCCCTTCTCTCGAAGCAGCCTTTTCTGATACTTTAGTTGCCACTTTATGCTTGTCTCCCATCCTGGAAGGTACATCAACTTGTACATTTGTCCCTTCACCAGCCTTCTTCCCTTTTGTAGCAATCTTCATAAGACTTTTACAAAAATCAACAGCACTTCTTTTCTTAGCCGGAAATCCTTCCGCTTTTGTGACTAACTTCCGTTTGCTCACACTTCCACCTCGAATAAGTGAGGTTGAGGAAACACATTTTGTGGATCCGCTGCTTGGGGAAGTATTACTCAAACAAGCTGGTCTATTTGCAGAGCGACTTGATCGTACCGAAATGAGAAAATCTTCATTACTATCATCGCTATGATCAGAAGCCGACTCATTCTCAACCTTCCTAGGGAATTTCCTATTCATTCGTTCTGAAAGCGGAATATCATCATCATCATCATCGTCAGTATGATCAGCAGGCAACTCTTTCTTGACCTGCTTAGGGGGAATGGCAGAGGTCTTCTTTTCTGAAGTAGTATTGGATTTTCTTGAGACCTCAGGCATAACATAGGAGTAATTCTTTTCTGGTTTAGACTTTGTCAAAGTTTGTGCACATTCCTTTTGCATCTGCAATTTCCTCTCCGTAACGGAGGCATTGAACCTCTTTATCTTCTGTGTTGCCACCATGACTTCTTTTCTGATTGCATCTGCACGAGCAGACTTTGATTTTTCCCACCAATCCAAGTACCTAGCCGTTACACACGGCTCAAAAGACCATGGCGGAACAAAGAAACCAATATCATTGCAGGCGGCAAAATCCAATCCTGGAAATTCACCAGGAAGGTCTTGATCAATTCCAAACTGCATTGCCACACGGTGCGGAAAATACTTCTCTTTACTATCTTCTACTCCAATCAACTCAGAAGGGCACAAGCACCTAACATAAGATTTTAAATTCTCATCTGCGTGCTTAGCACTACCAAAAAATACGGGCTTGTTCTCTCTGTAGTAAGAGGAATGGCGCAAATTGCTCAAATCAGCAGAATACGGACGCCACTGAAAATTCTCTTGCAACTTAAAAACGGTTCTCACAAGAGGCAGACCGATTGACTTAGAAGCTACTTTGTGCCACCGGGCAGCCCTAGGCTCGCCAGGTTTCAGAGCTTTCGGGGGACTCGGAAACCTCTCCAAAGCCCACAACTGCAAAAGCTGAAAGGGGCCAGAAACCGAAATCTCCTCCTCACCAGAAAGAACTCGGTTCTTTAGCAAGCTAAGGTCTCTGAAAAGACCCGAAAGGATGGCGGGTGCAAGAGCAACTCTCTTCCCCTGTGACAAACATGCTGCAATCGGAAAAACATGCCTCCCAATGCAATCCTCAGGAAGAGAAGGAAAAACAAACCTCGAAAGCCACAACGATAAGAAAGCTACATGCTCATATTCATACCCTCCATTTGGCAGCTCCATCAAATTCTTGATCCAGCTAGATTGGCAAGCTTTCTTCGCCTTGGTTCTCAAAATCTCCATCCTCTTCTTCTCCATCTCTTCCACGATTTTCGCCAACAACCAGTAACAGGTCTAGTGACATTCCTTCCAAGGGCCGAAAACCCGCCAAGAACCATGACATCTTCGAGCGTAATGGTGGCCTCCCCCCATGGGAAAACAAAAGTGTTGGTCTCCGGCGACCAAAACTCCACCAACCCGAGAAGCACATTCTTGTTGTTTCCCCTGATTTCATATCTGGAGCTCAAAATTGCATCACAGATTCCAGACTGGTTCCAGATGGAGCAGTACTTACCGGCCAACCTATCGACCCATTCATCCCACTTTCCCTGGGGAATCTTCCACCCTTTGAAGAACACCTTCGACGGCCATTGCTGGAGGTCGTGAGGAAAGACCTCGCAGAGCAATGGAATTTTTGGGGGACCCACTGCGGTGGTAAAACCGGTGGCACATGGCTTCAGAAACCTTGCGAGTCTCCTCTTTTGTTTCTGACCATGTTTTAGAGAGACCATGGTTTCTTCTCTCTGTTCGTATATGCGGCTTAACGGTGACCGGGGCGGTGACGCTTCTGCTGCTGCTGCTCCGTCTGCTGCCATTTCGTCAGAGAGTGGAGTGGAAGAAGAAGGAAGACGAAGAGGGCAGAGAGAGTATAACTTTCGAAACTTTTGAACTGCCGACAGGCCCTAGAAAATAGAGGAAGACGAAGAGGGCAGAGAGAGTACAAAATTTTGAAACTTTAGGACTCTCTCTCTCTCTTTTCGTACCAGGACTGTAAAAAATCATCATAAGTTCCATATCTTGTGACAGAAGTACACGGTTGCTAGATTTGATACACATTCCCCGCATAAATGTTTGGTACGAATGAAGTAATATTGGTGAGTTTAATGGTTAATCATGCATCGTGCTAGATTCGTATTACGCTATGTTAGAGTGTGGTGAGTTTAATATGAATGAGTTTATATATTGAATGTGTGACCCTCTTCTTTTTCTTTCTTTGTATGATAGGTCACTTATTTTCTCTTTCTTATCATTTGTTGTATTGACATCACATATGAGTTCAATATATTGGAGTAAAATATACGAATCACTCTCATTACACTCATTTTTTTTTACCATTATAGAAATCTGAGTCCTATAATATTGATATCACATTTCATTTTCCAACCAATTGTGGAAGACCTTAGATGTTTTTGGTCAAGAAAAGACCTTAGATGTTCAAATGGATAGAAAGTATGAATTGATACAATTTCAAAACTTGAGAATGTAATGTGAAAACTTTGGAACATCATGACCCATTTAAAAAAGGGGTAACTTTAACCTTCAAGAAAATTGAAATTTCATATAAACCTGGTGTTAGATTACATATTGATTATAATCCCTTGATGTGTCCTTAATTCAAAATAATTAATGTGCATTTTATTTAATGTCTTCCATTAAATATTTAAATTTATTGACATACAAACTTTAATTTATTTTTTGACCAAAAAAAGATTTTTTTAAATTTATTAATTTTATTTAACATTCTTTAAACTTGAAAGACTCAATTAATGTACCTAAATGTGTGTACTAAAATGTAATATATTGAACTAATGTATTTAAATGTTAGTACTGAAATATATATGCACCCAAATGTATTATGTTAAATTAATGTACCAAAATGTGTGTACTGAAATGTATGCACCGAAATGTATTATATTGAATTAATGTACCTAAATGTTTGTATTGAAATGTATGTACCGAAATGTGTGTACTTAAATGTATGCACCGAAATGTATTATAATGAATTTAATGTACCTAAATGAAGAAAACAAAGTACATCGAAATATATTGTAAAACAAAAATTAGTTTATCTAAATGTTTACAACAAAATATATTACAATAAATGAAATAAAAATGAAAATTATAATGAAATAAAATTAATACATTAAAAATTAGGAAGAAAAAGAGAAATAATTAATAAATGAGGTTATTTGTTACAATCACCCCCATATTTTCAATTTATTTCTATTTTCCCCTAAAACATATTTTAAATCTATCAATTTAATCCCTTATTGTCTTTTAATCCTAGCCGTTGATCTAGGTTCCTTTTTATCCTAAACAGCCATGTGGCAGCTCTTTGACTCTCTTATCTTCCCTATTTTCCCTAAAAACTTTCCATCTCAAACCTCTCTCTCTCTTTCTCACGGGAAACCTCAAGTTCCAAGAGCTCCGAGAGCTCTTGTTTCTTTCCTCTTCGAAAAACAAAATCAAACCTAACAGATTTACCACATATCTAGGATCCTAGGAGCTCGAGAAACACAACTATAACCATGCATGCGTTGGTAGAACACCTCTGTGTGTTCTGCAATTGAAGCCAAGAGCTTCAAACCTCTGAAACTCGAACTCAGGCGAGGCTCACTACTCTATTTCTATTTTTGTTGAGTTATTCTCAGTTCAAATGAAGGTTCTAATAAGTGCATGCCTTATATTTTTGTTTTCTAGAACCCGGCGAGAAAACCCGACGAGTTCCAAGATCAACCTCTCCATTCTCGACCACAGTTGAGACTCTAAGTGGTATAATTCTGTTCCCATCATTTCAACTATTTTTTTTCCTCTTCAATTTGGTACTTGGTTTGACTGTTGTTTGAACATTTGTCGTCGACCAGAGCTACAATAGCTCCGGTGTCCTTCCCCGAGCATACCCAAAGCCACCAGGTCATCCGTCATTCTCAAACACCCACGAGCCTTAGCCCAGTCTTGAACCAGCCCAGTCCCTTTTTTATTAATTGGCCTGCAGGCCGTGCGTGTCTCTGTGTGTGTGTGTATTGGGCCGTGAGTGTGTGTGCGTTGTGTGTGTTGGGCCGTGAGTGTGTGTGCGTTGTGTGTGTGAAAGTGGGCTGCGCAGTATGTGTGTTGTGTATGTTTGTCCGTGTGTGTGCGTGGTGTGAGTGTGTGTGAGCGTGTGTGTAGTGCCGTGTGTGGTGTGTTGCGTGTGTGCATGTGTAAGTGTGTATGTATGTGCAGGTGTGTATTTGTGTGTTGTGCATGCTTATGTATGTGTTGGTGTGTGTGTGTATATGTATTGTGTGTGGGTTTGGGCTCAAGCCCAAACCACCCATTTATTCCTATCCAAAACCAGAAACCCTTAGGATCCTAAAAACCCATTAGACCTTAACCATTCAACCCAAATCCTTTATTTTCTTTAGTTCAAGCCCAAATCCTTTAGAAAATCCTTTTATTTATTTATTACATTTTTTGTACTTAGGTGAAGTTGCTAGTGAGGAAATTCTTAATCCTTATCCGCACAACTCTACTGCTAAGGAATATTTGTAAGTGGACCCTTTCTAAAATTTGCATAATTTCCTAGTTTAATTGCATAAATAAAATACATGCCTTACGAGTTTATGAACTGATTTTTATGTTAAGCATGTTTATGAAATACGTTGTTTATCGTCTCGTTTTGGTGAGGAATTAATTGTTGGCCTATATTGAGCTATATTTTAATATATTGTATTTTCTATAAAAACCTTGAACTGGTAGACTATCTGATGGATGATTATATGATGCTAGAACATGTTTTAGAAACCCCTCTTTATAGTATAGACGATGGATGACTTTATACTATGAAGTGGTTATTTATGAGAGGCGTAACTATTTGTGCGTACCTAGTGGACACTATGCCACCTGGGGCGAGGATCTGGTGTTGGCAGATAGGCCGGGAGAAATAATCCCTAGCTACGGGCTGATGGACACGAAGCAGGCATTGGGCCAGGAGTTGGTAATATCTGGCTACGGGTGCAGAGACCACGGTGCTGGCATAGGGCCGGGGGATATATTTATTCAGTGATCTTACTAGTAGAACATTACGCTACGAGACGATTTATGAGACGTTTGATATTTTGTGTTCCACGATATGTCTCTTAAGATATTTTTGGCATGCTAGGTTTTTCATTAAACTTATCACTTATTATGCTAGTAGTTTTCTTTATATAAAATGTGGGGGTTAGTATCATGATAACTGTTTTATTATTATTGTGTATGAACTTGGTCCACTCACCTTTCTTTTGCGCCCCCATTCAAGTCTTAGAAACGAGGGCTACGACACAATGTACGAGGCATTCCCCTACCAGTAGCAATCTATCACTCACTTGTGTGATATTTTGTAATGATCTTTCCTTTAGTGATCTTGTTTTAGATTGTGTTCTGTGCACTCTAGACACGTCCTTAAACTTTGTTTATTACTTCTAGATTCTAATGATTATTCATGAATTTTTCCTCCTAATCATTACTCTAGTATTCAATAAATGGCATTCGTCACCCTCAGGTGTCGGCCAGCACGTGCCTATCCGGGTATTCAGAGAATATCGAGGTCGGGACGTGCATTATTAATGTATCAAGGGACTAAAATTAGATGTTGATCTTTGTTTATACCATATTTAGGGCCTCCGTATTTAGACCTCGTATAAATACTCGGGGGACTCAAATGTAATTATGCAATAAGGGAAGGGGCAAATATGTAATAAGTGAAGAGTCCTTATTCTATAAAAGGACTCCTCATCCTCACAATTAAGGAGAGGCCAATTCCTAGGCCTGAGATCCCCTCTCTCACCCTCAGAAGCTCTCAGAAGCTCTCACCCTCTCCCTCTCTATTCCCTCAAATAAATACATAATCAGTGTGGACGTAGCCCAAACCTTGGGGTGAACCACGATACATCTTGTGTCATTTACATTTCATTGCAGATTCACGGTCGGATTTACGTTGTTCCAAGACCTCCGGTTTTGTGCATCAACATTTGGCGCCGTCTGTGGGAATCGATACAAAAAGTTGCGTCGATTCTCTTTCATTTTTTCACATCCACTGTGAATCTGCAAGAACCCAGAACCTCCTGTCAACTACTCCGTGTACATGGTCCAGCAGTAGAAGAATTCACAGTGTTAAATCCTAACTGCTAAAAACACAAGCCCATAATCTGCAAAACGGTGAATCAACACACGAGCTCGTCATCATGCCCAGGCCCACAAGCCCAATCCTAACTGCCAAAAACAAAATAAAAAAACCTCTCCATCAGAAAATCACTTCGCAGGTTCTCGGTTTTCCCAGTAGTCTCGGTCGCTCCCTCTCAGATTTTCTGGAGTTGGAGTCGCTGCAGTGCATTTCTCGGCTCCATGTTGCCGTCGTGGATCGGTTTTCCGGAGTTGACAGCCAAAATGGGCCCAACCAAGTCAATCTCAAAACCCCAAATCACTAATTTGAATAAAGCTGCTCAATTTCTGAAACCCTCATCGTTTTCATCGGGATTTAATATTAATTTTCTGTTTTGTGCTGACCAACCAAAAACCACAAAAACCGATGAAGCTCGCTTCCCGCGACCAGATGCTCCACTTCTTCCCCGCAGTCCTTCACGGTTTGAAATGATGGGTCGCCGTGTCGGGTCAGCTTATGTTGTTCTTTATGTTCTTGTTTGTCAACTGTTTGTGTCGAATTTGGGTGACTATGTCTCGGACTCGGAGTCGGGCGAGTACACGTCGGCAATAGGAGACCCAGGAATGAGGAACCCAAATGTGAGAGTTACGTTGGAAGCTTGGAACTTCTGCAATGAAGTTGGAAGTGAAGCGTCCGGCATGGGCAGCCCTAGGCTCGCCGATCGAAAAGGTGATAGTTCACCGGCTGTTTCTGCTCGCAAGCGAGTCGTCGGAGTTCTGCCCGACACCCCCGGAGACACCCTTCAACTCCGAGACAAGCTGCATAAGACAAGGGCGCATATTGGGCAGTTCGTGAAAGACCGTACTTAAAGAATTCCAGAAGGCTCAGAGGCTTGCAGCTGAAAGGGTCAGAGGCCCAAGTTACTGTTGTCAAAAGTTATTGTTGTCAAGAAGATTTCGGTGGCAGCCGACGATTCAGATCCGGATCTTGGCTGAGTTAACGACCTCTTGATATAGAGGACTTTTGTTACAGTCTGACTGCCATGATTTGGAAGCTAGATGATCATCATCGTGTGATGTTAAAGGACGAAACGGAGGAGATCCAAAATTAATAAATGATGGATGGATGATGATCGAAAATGATAGAGATCTACTGCAAAGCTTGCCTATTGCAATGGTAATCCCATTTCGTACAAAGCTGAGAGCCAAGTCTTCTTCTTGGTCTTCTGTATCTCTGCACAATCTCCAACTGCATCATCATCACAGCCCTAAGAATAATGCAGTAATGGGTTATCTTTAACAACCCACTTGGATAAAGGGAATAACTCTCCGCATGTGCTAAATCCGACCCATACCATCTTGTCCACCCATCAGCTTGTCAAAAGAAACAGAAACAAAAGCAGTAAAGGTAAAGCAGTTTTTCTTTAAACAAACAGCTGGAAAGTGGTTCCGCGACCATGATGATAAAGGAATTCAGACACTTAATGATGCCAAGTTGCCATCCCACTACAAGGTCCCAGCATCTCCTTGTGTCAGTGCCTTGGGACATTGGATTGACAAGACACCGAGCACCATTATTCCTAAAAAGAACGGTCCTCCAAGAAAGCGAAAGCAAAAGAGAAAGCAAAAGCAAGGAATAAACTCCCCACCAGAATGATGTGATTTACTTTTCTTGTTTTTGTATGATGTGATTTATTTTTCTTATCTTTCGGAGACATCTGTATAAACCCCATCAAAGGGTAATATAAAAAAATAAAAAATAAAAAAAAAACGGAAAAGCCCAAAAACAAATGGGCTGGCATGTTGTGGAGGGCGAAAGCCCATAAGCCCAAAACTATTCGGCAACTCGCCGCTATTACCACCAACCAGGTGATGAAATGTATAACCCGTACTCTAATATCATTTGGCAACTAGCCATTCATTATCACCAATCAGGTGATGAAATGTACAACCCGTACTCTAATATCATTTGGCAACTAGCCATTCATGCCACCAACCGGTGATGAGATGTACAACCCGTACTCTAATTTGGCAACTAGCCATTCATGCCACCAACCAGGTAATGAGATGTACAACCCGTACTCTAATTTGGCAACTAGCCATTCATGCCACCAACCAGGTGATGAAATGTACAACTCGTACTCTCCTTCATGCCACCAACCAGGTGATCAAAAGTACGCCTAGTACTCCAAATTATACATGAGCACTACTCATGTCATTCATACATAAACATTCATGAGCATCATTCATGTCAACATTCATGAGCATCACTCATGTTAACATTCATGAGCATCACTCATGACAACATCCATGAGCATCACTCATGTCAATCAACATAAACATTCATGAGCATCACTCATGTCAATCAGCTTCAAAAGCTTTATTTACAAAAGCTCCAGCTTCGAAAGCTTCATTTACAGAGCTCTAGCTTCAAAGCTTCATTTATAGAGCTTCACCTACAAAGCTTCAGTGCAAGGTATACAAATACCGCATCCAACCGCCACTTCGGCCCATACATGGATTCAATTTAAAATCTCTAGCCAACAGACTCTATTGACCGAAGACTTGGGGGACTACATTAGGTACCATATATTGGGCCTCAACTGGGCCTCATGAAAAATACTTAGGGGACTCTAGCCCATTATTTATGTATTGAGGAGCGAGCCCTTACTTTATAAAAGGGACTCCCTCACCATCATTAGAGCAGCATCAACTCTAGCCCATTATTCATGTACTGAGGAACGAGCCTTTATTTTATAAAAGGGACTCCCTCACCTTCATTAGAGAGCAACGCCGCCAGCTGAGCAACCGCCTCATCGCGAGCATCACTCCTAGCCCATCACTTATGTATTGAGGAGTGAGCCCTTATTCTATAAAAGGGGACTCCCTCACCACCATTAGAGAGCATCGCCGCCTACTGAACAACCGCCTCGCCGCGATCATTAACTCTAGCCTATCATTTATGTATTAAGGAGCGAGCCCTTATTCTATAAAAGGGACTCCCTCACCTTCAACGCCACAAGCTGAGCCAACCAAGGCAACATAAGTCACAAGCCGAGCAGCCTCGCAGCGTGTGCTACTTCTAGTTGAGCGTCATTTCAGATTGAGCATTGCCTCATATTGAGCATCAGTTCAAGACAGTATCTAGTTACTTCGGCCCACACATGGACTGAATTTCAAGTCTCCAGTCAAAAGACTCTCTTGACTGAAGACTTGGGGGACTACTGTTTATACCATATTTAGGGCCTCCGTATTTAGACCTCGTATAAATACTCGGGGGACTCAAATGTAATTATGCAATAAGGGAAGGGGCAAATATGTAATAAGTGAAGAGTCCTTATTCTATAAAAGGACTCCTCATCCTCACAATTAAGGAGAGACCAATTCCTAGGCCTGAGATCCCCTCTCTCACCCTCAGAAACTCTCAGAAGCTCTCACCCTCTCCCTCTCTATTCCCTCAAATAAATACATAATTAGTGTGGACGTAGCCCAAACCTTGGGGTGAACCACAATACATCTTGTGTCATTTACATTTTATTGCAGATTCACGGTCGGATTTACGTTGTTCCAAGACCTCCGGTTTTGTGCATCAACAATCTTACTCATAGTTTTAATCTAAAAGTCATATTTACCAAAGATTAAAATGAAATTTTCTATTTAAAAAATCTACCTCAAACTTAAAGAGTGTAAAATGTAATAGGAGGCAAGCACCCTACACTTTTCAACTTTTTATCTCAACAATGTGACTTTATTTAATAAAATAAAAGAAAGTTTTAGTGTCACTGTCAAATTTGGTTCTATAATATATAATACAATGATCTAATGTAGCGAGGCTAGTAAGAGTATCTTCAAATAAGATGTCAAAATGTTCAAATAAGCAATAACAGTAAAAAAAAAATAGTAACAATGTTTTTCAACCGAGAAACCAAATCTAATGTAGCATGACATGGAATAACATCTCTTCCCCTTGCTACCAAATTTGACAACTTCAAAAAAAAAAAAAATTCATTAAATGCTTTTTATTAAAAAAATTTATTGGTTTAAAGCAATGGCTTTTTTAATTTCTTTTAATTTTCAATGCAATGTTTAAGTATTTTTATATTTTTAATTCATTTTCTTTCATTACAAATGCATTGGTAATGAAAGAAAAAAAATATGCATTGGTAATGAAAGAAAATAAATATGAATTTTATTTTATGTTTCAAATTTGACATATCGAATGGAGATTAAAACTTTAAAAGATGTTAAAGTGCCACATAAGCTGTCAAATTTAATTTTTATGTTTAAAATTGATAAACGGTAAACCCGCCTTATCGTAGAACTTGATGCGAAGCATTTCTTGTTAGGGAGATTATATTCACACATCTCAAATTACTTTCTCCACACCCTTTTAATTTTTGAATATTTTTCTATCAAGTGTTAGTGGTGTTTCAAAAAATATTAAAAAATTAAAAGAGGGTGGGAGAAGTAATTTAGAGTGTGTGAATTTAATTTCTCTTCTTGTTAAATGGTAAACCCACCATATTGTAGAACTTGATGTGATGATGATATACTTGACGGAAGTAAACGTTGGAAGTGTAACACTTGAGGATGCAAATTTTATACACGTTTGAATTGACAAATTCCACCTACAAAATAAGAAACACTATTAGTCTAATTAACAAACACCTAAAAAAAGGAGTGTGTATGTGAGAGGCCCACCCACACATGAAATCCTAGCTCTACTAACTTTTACTGTTAAAAATATGTTTTTGTCTAGTGATAATTTTGATATCTTGTCTAGAAGTGCTCGACTATCTCCAAAGGAGATGTCAAAAATGCCACATAAACATATAACGGTAACAAATGACGTACCATTTACTCCAACCGAGATGTCAAAGATGACATGAAAAAGAAGACTAAGTTGACATAGACAAAGAAATGTCAAATTTAAAGCTACCTTCAAATTTGATTTTTTCTATTTCCAAAGACATTCCACTTGTCTTACCTTAAATGTTAGCATATTTAAGTATTATTTTATTATTTTTAAACCAATAACAACCAAACTTTTATTATTTTTGTTTAAAAAAAATATAAATGAAGCAATAAATTTTAGCATATCGAGTGAAAGAAAAATATTGACAATGTATCAAATTGTCAAGTCAGCCATCAAATTTAAATTTGATGTTTTGAATTTAACATCTCACTTGGAAATGCTCGACATTGATGAGCAATTCGAGCAATTCAATAAATAAACGACGAAATATATGAATTTGAAACATGAATGATCAAACTGATAACTTCCTATGTGAACAAAAACTTTAATTTAAATTCATGTATTTGTAGTACGACTTTTGCAATTCTCGATAAGAAAGGGAGAGAAAGGACCTTCGAGCGAATGATGAAACCTCGTTTCATGTCGTTTTTGTTTTGCGTAGAAGCCGTAAGGGCGCTCTAAACGGCAGACGATTACGAGTGGACATACGTGCTCATATAAACCATTTTTCGTATTATTCAATCCAATCCCGCTTCACACTTCATTTGTGCTTGACCTGAGCTTTTGATTCAACTCCGGAAAACCAAAAGGAATAAAAAATGAGAGAGAGAGAGAGAGAGAGAGAGAGAGAACCCACCGGAATCAATGGTTGAAGGGAGGGAGGAGTTGATGGTTCCACCATCCGGCGGCAACCCATTTCTGAAATAAAACCCTACTTTCTCAACCCCACTTTGCCAACTTCCTCCATTGATACCCTCCTTCTGAGCTCCCTCATAGTTTCTGCTCCATCCCTTCCCGTTTCGAGCCAAAGAAATTGCCTTTGAATGTTGAGTTCCCAGGATGGAGACAAGCCGCAAAAGATTGGAAATCTTGGTTCACCAATCTACACAGAAGGAGGCTGGTATCTATGAAGCAAACCTTAATTCTACGTACCAAATACGAAACTAACCAGTTTGGTACACGGGTTTGCAGAGAAATGGTGTCCTGAAACCAATACGTTTATTTTTTCATGGGGTGAAGCAACAATCACATTGGAGGATGTCATGGTTTTAGGCTTTTTCTCGGTTTTGGGGGACTTTGTTTTAAGCCCTCTTGAAGCAACACAACTTAAAAAAAAAAAATTGAAGAAAAACTACTTGAAGAGAGAAAGGAATTTTACGGGAGTCCGACTAGGAAGCCTAGAACAAGCTTGTGGTTGAAGAAGTTCATTAAGTGCGGGTACAAATTTGAGCACGAAGCGTTTCTTGTGTATTGGTTGTTGAGGTATGTTTTTAACCACAATGTTATAATACAACAGACCTGTATTCTCCATGGCAATGCATTTAGGTAGGGGGACTAGAATCGTTCTTGCACCTGCTATTCTTGCAAGCATTTACAGAGATTTGGGTTTGTTGAAAAGGAAAATCGTAGCTTCAAACCAATTGGCAATAGGAGATGCTGATTTACAACTCACCCTTAAGCACTGTTCTAAAAATCCCCGCCTAACGCCGCTTAGGTGCTAGGCAATTGGGCACCGTCCCAATTAGTCCCTATGAGTTTGAAAATTAAGAAAGTACGCCTAGACCCTCTTAGGCATTCTAGGCGCCCACCTAAACATGCCTAGGTCGCAACTCTCACTTAAACAGAAACTCAAAAACTTTCATTTTGCATTTTAATTTTTCAACAAAATGTAGGAGACTTATTGAATACTTAGATGAACACTCATTATATGTTTGTTCCCCATGTTTCTAATACTTTATAATTTATATGTCATTTTATTTTGTAAGTTATGTATGTCAATACAATTATGTGTGTGTTTTTAAATATAAATCAACACTTATTTATACAATATATAATAAATTTATTTAAATCCGCCTAGTCAACCTAGGCGTTAAGCCCCATCCCGCCGCCCGACTAGTGCCTAGTGTCTTTTAGAACCTTGCCCTTAAGTCTATGTTCTAATTACTTCTGGTTAGGGCATGGGAAATATTCTTGGAACTTAGGCCAAAGCCGAATGTTAAAAATTTTAGTGAGCCAAGATTGGCTAGATGGGATAATTTAAATGGTATGGAAATTGAAAACTTGAGAAAGGTTTTGGACTCGGCTGGAGCAGAGTTCAAGTGGCGCCCTTATGCCTTGGACGTCATTGAGAACTTGCATTTGCCTAAATACTGTCCACAAAAGGAAACGTGGGTTTTGGTTGGTCCTGATTTTGGATGATAAATTATTGTCATTCATTAGATGTTTGATAGTAAGTGAACTAGTTGGTCTTGGTACTATTGAGCACTACCTACCGCATCGTGTAGGCATGCAGTTTGGATTGGATCAAGACCTTCCATGTTCTGTTACACGACCTAATCACAATTCTGATACGGCCTTGAAGCATAATAACAAAGAAATCAAGAATGTGAAATTGTATCTTCTGTGTTGGCTTTTCAAGGGAGATATTAGCATGAAGTACAAGTACTGGTGGAAGAAATCAGTGTCTGGTCTCGAAGATGAAAGTGAAGCTGCTAGTCCCCAGAAAAAGAAAGCAAAGAGTATTCATCGGTCATTATTGATGGTTAACCACCCCCTGGTATCTCCTGGTTTTCCTCGAAAATGCAACAAAACAGAAGCTGGAGATCCTATGGATGAGGATGATACATTAACAATGTCAGAAATTTTGAAAGGACATAGGAAGTATGAGAATTTTGTGATTATAGAAGATGGTGACAGTGAGAAATTATCAGGTAAAATTCCAAGTTCGGAATCTGAAATTGTAGGAGATAGTTCGGTTTGTACAAAGCCAAATAAGGACATCGGAAGTGTTATCGGTAAAGAATGTGCCAGCAGTAGCCCTTTATTTGAGAGCCATGTTTTGGAGTTTGAGAAGCGAGGTTTGGAGATTAAAGCTAGGATGAAGAGGCTTGAAATCATGCTAGACGAGTAAAATTCAGATATGTTGCCGAGCAAGTTTTAGGAAAAGGTAATGTAAGATAGCTCTCTAATCAGTTGGTATTTCCAAACCTTGTTATAACATATAATTACTGTATTTTTGTATTAATCTTAGTGATACTACATTCTTTTTCTTCTTTTATTACTAATGTTTGCATAATTTTGTGTTCAATTTTTTCATCCATTTAACATCCAGTGTGAAATACTGTACATAAGACTTGATTTCTATTTGCTTTCTTCCTTGCTTGCTATCTGATTCTCGATTCCATTCATCTTCTTTAACAGTAGGTCATTTTAGGCTGATTAGTTCCTCTAGTCAATATGAATGCAAAGTATCAATGCACAAAATCGGTCTTATAAATTGCATTATGTATTTCTTTACTAGTTGTGCTTTTCCTATCAGTAATCGGCAGAAGACATGTCAACTTGTATGCAATCTTGTTTCTTTTCACGTTACATTTACATTGTATTTCTGTTATTCAACATTTGACCTCTTGAAATTGTGAGTAAAGGCTTTCTTTTGCGTGCTCTTGTTCTTGGTACAGGGAAAAGGGAGGACGTGACTCGCACTCTGGAATAGCAGAGGAACTTGGTATTTTGTAGATATTCCATGGATGGCATATAATGCAGTAGCTGGAGGTTTTGATACTTCTTGCTCTATCCATCCAAGTCTTATTCTCCACTTGCCAATAGATTTTGCAACAATGTGGTTTCCCAACCATAGAAGTTGATGGCTTTTATCTTTTGAGTAGTTCTTTGACTGTTCTTCCATTTTCGAAACAAAATTGAATGGAATTATGGTTTATCCAGATTGGAACTTGAATGGTTTTTGTGGTTTGAAACTCGAACTATGCACCTCTTTTCTGTAAATTTCCTTTGCAATTTTTTGTTTGTTTTGTTAAACTTCCATGACACAACAATTTAAAGTATTGACATTGATATAATTTGGTAATAATTTGCTGTGCATATTTTTATTTATTTATTCCTCTTTTCTCAACTGTCACATGATGTGGTACTTATGAGATTATTAATATACACCGGTGCCTATGATTGAAGAATTCGCATTTTACGTGAGTACGCAGAACAAGTTTTCGATGCAGCCACATATGTTAAAGGAGTGCATAATGACACTCTAACCACATAAAAAATTGGGATAGAGGCACTCTGACCATAGCACCCATAAAATATCTCTAACAAAAACATGAGATTTGAACCTCTTTCTAAAAACAAAAAAAAGCGTCAGCAGCACTGATGAATCCACCGGAAAGCATGGTGGAAGAGAGAGAAGATTGATGGTTTCACTATCTGGCGGCAACCCATTTCATAAAAAAACGTACTTTCACAAACCCACATTGCAGAATTTCGCCATTGATGAACCTCCATTGGAGCTCGTCATTGTTCCTCCTCACTCCCATCATTGGAAGATTTTGGATTTACCAAAATCAAATGGCATAAGTGCACCAATCTACATGGAAGAAGACTGGTTTTTATGAAGCAACCAAATACGAAGACAGACCGATTTATTTTTTTGGTTTGCTGAGATATGGTGTTCTCAAACCAGTAGGTTTATTTTTCTGTGGGGGTGAAGCAACAATCACATTGGAGGATGTCATGGTTTTACGAGGTTTTTTGGTTTGAGGGACTTTGTTTTAAGCCCTCTTGGGAGCAGAGAACTGAAAGAAATTACAGAAACAACTTGACGAGAGAATAATTTTTAAGAAGTCGAGCTAAAAAGGCTTGCACAAGCTTGTGGTTAAGGAAGTTCATCAAGGGAGAGCATGAGTTAGAGCACGTAATGTTATTAAAAGACAAACCGATTTGGTTTCCGGGTTTGCGGAGAAATAGTTTTCTGAGAATAATACTTTCATTTTTCCACGGAATGAAGCAACAATCACATTGGAGGATGTCATGGTTTTAGAAGGTTGCTCGGTTTTGGGGGACTCTGTCGTAAGCCCTCTTGAAACCATACAACTCAAAGATATCGAAGAGAAACTACTTGAAGAGAGATACTTGGAAAACTAGATTTCATGAAATGGCTTCTGTGCACCAATCTACCTGCAAGAAGGCTGGTGCATATGAAGCAATCTTTAGTTCAACATACCAAATCAAAAGACAAACTGATTCCTTTTTCAGATTCGCTGAGAGATGGTGTTCTGAAACCAATACCTTCATTTTCCCATGGGGTGAAGCAACGATCACATTGGAGGATATCATGGTTTTAGGGGGGTTTTCGGTTTTTGGGGATTCTGTTTTAAGCTCTCTGGTCACCACAGAACTGAAAGAAATCAAAGATAAACTACTTCACAGAGAGGAAATCATAAGGAGTCGTGCTAAGAAGGCTACCACAAGCTTGTGGTTGGTTCATCAATGGTGGGCATGAACTCAAACACGAAGCTTTTCTTGTGTATTGGTTGTCGAGGTATGTTTTTTAACGATGGTGGTATAACACATAGGTCTGTTTTCTCCATAACAATTCATCTATCTAGTGGGACTAGAATCGCGCTTGCACCTGCTGTTCTTTCTAGCGTTTATAATGATTTGGGTGTGTTGAAAAAGGCAACCGTTGATTCAAACCAATGGGAAGTAAGTAGTGCTGCTGAATGGGAGACGCTTGAAGGGTTTGCGTAGCTGGTTTATTTGGGGCCAAAGATCTTCAGGAAGCTTTGACCCGTCGAAGAAATCCGAGTGGTTGGCCATGAAAGGAGCACTATTTTTGTGAACCTAAGATTACATGCAAAGAGAGTTTCAGTAAAGGAGGCAGGTGCGATGGTAATGATACCGATCCAAAAACATAAGCCTTTTATGCTGCGAGTGAAGCGAAATGAAAAAGGATTGCTAACTTTTTTTTTTTTTTTTTTTCAAGTACATCGATATTTTTATACTAAAAAAAGGGAAAAGTTCAATTAAGTCACGTAATAGGCAGTCAGAATTACTAACCTTTATGGCATAATGGTCGAGAAAGGTGCAATGGCCGAGTGTTCTAGTAAATCATGGATTCGATTGGTATTGTAGATCTTGACATCAACTTGTAGGTAGTATTTCATTCGAAATAAATAGAAACATCTAATATGAAAATAAAGAATAAGAATGGTTATAAATAAGTATTAAAAATTGCAATGCGTAGTGATTTGAGACGAAGTCTGAATGTGAATGTGAAACCTCCCTACAGCACCATTTACATAGTATTACCAAGGATTATGTGTAAGACACGTGGTATTTGCTGATTGGCAATGACACATAAAATATTCACAAAATATTCGGGCTTGTGTCGCTTTTAGACAACTATCAAAGAGTAAATTGTAGCAATGGTTCCTTAACTTTAACTCAGTTGGAGCAATAGTCATTCAACTAAAAATCCATTACCATTAGTCTCTCAACTCATCAAAACGTGCAAATATGGTTCATCAACTAAAAATCTATTACTATTGGTCCCTCAACTTTAATCCAACCAAAGAAATAATCCCTCAATTTTAACTCAATTGAAGCAATAGTCGCTTAACTTTAACTCAATTGTAACAATGGTCATTCCAATATAACTCATTTTGACAAAATTCTGACGAAGTTGACAAAAGGACATTAGCTACATGTTTTGATGAGTTGAGGGACCTCAATTGTAGCAATGGTTCTTCCAATATAACTTATTTTGACAAAATTCTAATGAAGTTGACGAAAATGACCATAACTACATATTTTGATGAGTTAAGAGACCAGTGGTAATGGATTTTTAGTTGATGGATCA